TCAATTTAACCACACAGAAACGAATTTCGTATGTGCAATGCCTCATTCAGTTGTCAACAAAGTTACTGGATTTTTACCAACAATAATACCACTTTGTGTCTTCATCAATCACGCAATGACACGAACGTATGTGATTACTTAGATTACTGAAATGCTTTCTCGCCATCTTGATTCTGTAGAGAATACTGGTGAACGATAGTGCCATTCCAGAGTGATGTATCTGTGCAAATCAAGATAAGTGGGAAGTCCGATATATCGTTTTAATAAATCATGTTGTATTTGCTGAGAAGGAAGAGGATATCACTTGTGACGTCATGCGTTTGAAATATTCCTCTAAATATTGTTCAATGTATTACCGTCAGTATGCAGAAAGGCTGAGTAGATTTATATTTGTGTATTGTACACTACCGTGTCACAACATGGGATTCATGAGAATTAAATTCTTATCCATTTCGTCATACAAGCATTCGAAATAATTGTAGCCTATATAAAACGGTACACTATCCAGTATGATTTAGTGTGTCCAAACTATTCAAAGCTTAGGAGTTACTTGCTTTCACAGCAAAAATAACTTAGTTTCCGTTCTTGCGGAAACCTAATTAATACTGGGTAATGTAGGTTTCCGCTAGGTTTCAGTATCCGGAAACAGACAATGCGAGTTTCCGCATAGTTTACAAAACTGAAACTAACAAATCTAGGTTTCCGTCAAGTTTCTACAACTGAAACTATCATTATGCGTTTCCATTTAGTTTCAGTTCGCTGAAACATTCATAGCAAAATGACTTAGTTTCCGCTATTGCGGAAACCTTTTGAATACTGGGTAATGTAGGTTTCCGCTAGGTTTCTGTTGGTTTCAGCTGAGATGAAATGGCAAACTTAACTTTGTGCTGTTCCATTGGGGGACAATATTTACTTACTGTTACATTTGCAAGATAATTTCTATATACAGAATCCATCTAGGGTCCATGCAGGAAGCAAAAGTACTGTACGTTCCCGTAGTCCCTAGTATGTTGATCAACCTTCAGGTGTTGGCAATCTATAGCCCATTTTATACTGTACCGTTAAAGTGTTTATGGTTACATGCCAGTTTTTAGTGTACATTTGTGATAGACTAGTTATTTTACTGTCCTTAGAAGACAGGTAGGTATATAAGTTTGTTTTTATTTCATGTACACATTTACAAATTTAGATTTACGACTTTCACGATATGGCTGCCGATGTGACTTTGTAACTCACTACCATTCTGCATAACTTGTGAATGTACCATTTATTACATTGTACACGAAAAACAACAAACACAGTAACACAGTCACTGATATGATTCATCTGTTTCATTATTTTGAATAGCTCACATTTCAACAGAACCCAAAAATGTATGTATGTATGTATGTATGTATGTATGTATGTATGTATGTATGTATGTATGTATGTATGTATGTATGTATGTATGTATGTATGTATGTATGTATGTATGTATGTATGTATGTATGTATGTATGTATGTATGCATGCATGCATGCATGTATGTATGTATGAGAGAAGCCACATCAAGAGGGAATCTTCAGCATTGGAGAACACAACTTCTGTATGAATATGCAAATACAAATATGTCAAAACCCTACAACATTTTATGCATATGATGAAATGATGTCTACTAGTGCAGGCATAACATACTTGCTGTGGTATTTATTAAACAGATTTTAAATTCAAATTCAAATGTTTATTGTATGAAAGGTCATGGGCCCATATACATGAAGTGTACATTTGAAGCTGCCTCAATGTATCTTAACATATACACACTAACAATCTCACATAGTAAAGACTTGGCAACTTGCTGACAATCATGGAGCTTCTATTGCACTCATACTGAGCTGACAGCAATCCTCTGATCTGGTACATATGAAGCAGAGTCTGAGTTGAGACATTTGTTTGCCACACAGAGAAAGGGGAAATATAACCAAGTTGATTACAACAAGGCTTGAACCAGTCCACAACCGCAAACAGATGGTGTATGCTCTACTTAAGATCTGTGGGTGAATATGAAGAGTCCTGGTTGATGTCTGGCACAACATCGTTGCCATGCTCATCGTCCCACACAGACTCTGCATCATCCTGCAAATACAATACATACAATGCTTAGTAAAACTACAAAACAGCCAAAGTAACACATGTACAGTGAAGCCTCGTTAATCTCAGTAAATTCGTCCGGATTCCGAATAGTCCGGACTACTGAATCAAGACCCAAGTTGCTTCCCCTAAGAATTACAAAAACGACACGAATCTGGATAAAACAAATAAGCATTTAATGTAAAGCTTAATTCATCACATCAATAATTTTACCCAGTGACATCCGCATGTTGATCCGACGTGTCTGATCACGTCCTTCCTCAGCACAGGTGAGGTAATGTCTAACAAGCGATCTATTGTAGTATGCCTTGAATGTCCGAATTATTCCTGCATCCATCGGTTGAATATGAGACGTGGTATTTGGTCACATTTCGCAAAGTTAGCGAAGCACACTTGTGACTTGCAGCATTGTCGTAAAGCAAAATCACTTTTAGTCAACGTGACCGGATCTGTCTGTCAAAGTACATTAACCAATCACAAAACAGCTCACTTGTCATCCACGCCTTTGTTTTGTGGTGTCAATCAAAGTGTAAATGTACAGTATCTTCAGTCGGGAGCTTTTTTATGTCTAACTAAAACAACAACCCAGTTGGCCAGTTATTTAAGTAAACATCGCCGGGCGGTGTTGTTACGGTTCGTGAACACGACTTACAGCGTCCGGACTTTGAAGCAATTTACTGTTTATTTTGCTGATTGGTGACAGCTACTTACCGTCCGGTTCCGGAAACCGAATTTCCGGATTATCGAGGCAAATTATATAGGCATAGAATGGTAACAAGCTGAAATCGCCCGGGAGGCGAGGCATCCGGATTATCGGAGTCCGGACTAACGGGGCTTCACTGTATACATATTCAAAAACATGCACAGTGGTATATCTGATCACAATGAAATTATCAAATTAGAACGACTAATTTGTAGATGTACCCAAAAGATTTTTTTTCACAATCACAAAGGAAAGATCTGTAGTATACATGTATATTGTATCTTCCATTGGACATGTCACTTATTTGATTGATTGGTACCAGAAAATAGTAGCCAACCCAGTATTCTGAAGCAAATTGTGGTAATATTTATTACTGTTACTGTACTCATATTCAAGGTAACATCTACTACCAAATCGCCAACTGAAATCTAAGAATAGGTAAAACGGTACATACATATTTTAAATAGATACGAATCATGTTTAAACACTGAATGTAACACCTTATTATATATGTGATCTTATTCATTTCAAATTGAAATGACCAACTCAACTGAGAAAAGCATACAAAACCTAACATTTCCCATGAATGAAAAATCATTGGGTATTTCTTAGTTTTATCAACCCTCTAAAGAAACATTCACAGCAATATAATAAAAAAAAAAATTTTTAATGTGACCTTTACTTTAATTTAAAACTGTAAAATGTGTAACACAACTTATTCACTTACACTTACAGTTACATATTTGATATACAATAATTAAATATATTCATTATTGATATATGATGGATAACAAAGGGACAGATCAAACTGAAGTCGTTAAGTGAAACCTATGAAGTGAAGTATCTTTGACGACTAACCTGATGAGAAACTGCCGTCCATTCCAGACGGATTCCTTGTTTCCTTTGAAACAAGCGACTGGCAGTGCGGACAGAAAACTGGTCTTCTTCTTGGAACTGAAAACATATCAATTTATAATTACACTGGAATCCACGCACTGTTACATTTTGAGTGATTATATTTTTCACAAAGATAAAGAAATTTATTCTATGTATCTATTTAGTGTTTACTTGTTTTTGACTAAATGCTGATGAATAAAAAATATTGTTTTAAGATTTCCTTTAATGAAATTAGGAGCATGGTATGGTGTAACTATAAATGATTACCAAGCCAAGCCTCTTGTCAATCTCCAACAAGTCCCTAGATCCACAAAACGTATCTGTAAATTGAAACAATGATTCTTTTAGAAATGTTATACGTGACTTGTGTCAATGCATTGTAAGGCTAAGAGGTTTAATAATTGATTACACAAAGCTATGAGTGTAAAGTATATGTAATAATTGTTTTAATGGTTATAAAATGATAAAATAGATGAACTGGTATAATTGGATAAATACCGCCATATAGCTGGAATATTGCTGAGTGCGGCGTAATACTAAACTCACTCACTCGGATATATTGAGCTGACATTACATATAAGCTAGCAATATATACTGCAAAATTAGATAATTTAACTTATAATACATGGGAATAGTATATCTAGGTGTAGAACTGAAAAGAATGAACATGATATAAGCAAGTCTAATACACTTGCATGTTTGGATCTCAATGGGTAAATTACTTACATGATGAAGTTTTACGTCCAGCAAAAATATTTTCGTATATTGCCTACTCCTGACAGGGTTTTGAAAAATCACCTATTTGTCACTAACACAAGTTCTCACGAGTAGGACTCATGAAGCTCGATCAGGGTGCCGTTCCACTAACCGATCTTAGCCCTACGCCAATCGTAAACCCCTAAAATCCCAATCTTAGCGTGACGTTACGATCGGCATACCGTTCACTAACCAATCTTACCCAAGTCAATCGTAAAGTTAAGATCCAAAGTCTAAGTTGCTCATGACCAACTTAGGATAGCTAAAATCAATCGTACAGAAACCAAAATGGTGGCTTTCCTATTCTATGTGAAAAATAAGAGCGAGCATTTCACCGTGAGCGTCCCCTAAAATCCCCCCATGAAATGAATTTGTATATTTCTGTGATGTAAACAAACACCGCACTGAAGCCTTACAAATGTCAGGCCAGTCTGACCACTGTCGTCATGGGAACACAACCGAGCGAGTCGGTGTAGCCGTGAAGTGAACAATGTTCTGAAGCAAAAAGATACGAATATGTTTCATTTCACTGCGCATATTTGGTGGGGGATTCTAAAGGCAGGCCGCGTGTTATTCAGGCACATATTAAAAGCTCTGACACAATTGACATTTTTAAAGTCCAGACTTAAAACCTGTTCTCAGTTTATTACTTATAATCTCGGCTGTAAATACTCTCGTGTAAATTATCTGTACATGGCGCTTTGTGCATGCCCCAGGATGTGGAATAGGCGCAATATAAATATGCATTTATTATTATTATATTATGCCTGATACCCAGCGTTCACACGCACTTGCACTTGAAACCAAGGTGCTCACTACCCTAATATTTTGCTCCAGCTTTTTTTCTCCACGTTTACACATGGTTGGAAAAATACCAATGAAGGCCCGGGTTAGAATATTGAACTTCAATAACCCATGCTTGTCGTAAGAGGCCAGTAACGGGATCGGGTGGTCAGGCTCGCTGACTTGGTTTACACATGTAATCGGTTCCCAACTGCGCAGATCGATGCTCATGCTGTTGATCACTGGATTGTCTGGTCCAGACTCGATTATTTATAGCTAAGATACATAGCGTTCACTAACATGAACGCTCATGTTAGTGAACGCTATGCATCTTAGTTAGATTTTTTACAGACCGCCGCCATATAGCTGGACTATTGCTGAGTGCGGCGTAAATCTAAACTCACTCACTCATTCAGTTGGTTCGTAAACTACTTTAGTGGCTGTACCCTCGAAGGGGGTTGAAGTAGCGTAAAATTATTGTCCTCCTGAGAGGGTACGTAAGTCCCAAAACATTTAGTCAATTTAAGTGTACCAGGTTTTTAATCGTAGAATAAGTGTGTTTTTAATTTATGGCTAGGTTTCTCTTCTGTCGCCAATGGCTGAAGGGATGGTGTAAATCCAGCTAGGGTCCATGCAGGAAGCAAATGTACTGTAAGTCCCCATGGTTCCTAGTATGGTGATCTACCTTCAGTTGTTGGCGATCTATAGCCCGTTTTTATATTGTATTGTCTTCATAAATAAAACAATTTTACATGTTCATGCTAGTTTTAGAATAAATCTGTGATACTCTAGTTATTTTACAGTCCTTCGATGACTGATTATTTAACAACTGTAATTTATTGTTTATATAAAACATTTCTCGTCATAATATGGCTGAAATATTGCCGATGTGACGTTAAATAATAACTCACTCACTCACTCGTAAACTACTTCCATCATTTGCTAGACTATGCAAAGGGAGATAACTCGTGCCTCGCATTCCTCTATCTATCGCACGAAAGAGTCTCGATCTAAGCTTGGTTCGGATCGTAAGATCGGGACCGGCTACAATCGGCCTAAAATCGGTTAGTGGAACGGCACCCAGGACTATTAAAGTAACGTGAATATGTTTTCAGATTTATTCACTGTTAATTATCTCTAGGCCTACATGTTGATGCTTGACACTGAGGAGGAGCAATTAGTGCCCATAATCCGATGAAAAGACCCTTAAGCCCATAACAGCCCACTGTTGTCACTTTGGGTACTCACATTCAATCTGCTCATTTCCACCTTTCACGGTCCCCTCTGATGTCGGCAATGTAAACGAATAAAACAATGGCGACCGGATCACGTCCACGCGAGACTACCTAAATTATTATAAAAACACACAGCTGACATTTTAGGTGTATAGTGTATGTTTATTTTGTTGTATAACGCGGAAAGATATCGTCAAACTGTAATGCTAGATTTAGATTAAAAAACAACAACAAAGTGTTTTTCCCGTGAGTCTTTGCGAGACGCCATTTTCATAGCCGCCTCAGTTTCCCTCAATGCACTGGAAGAGAGAATTCGCTACCTGGAAAAGAAAGATGGAAATGGCTGCGAAAAACTCGCAGTACCACGACCCTGTCAGGTAAGACCAATTTATTTTGTTGTCAAATAACGTTTAATGAATTATTTACTTTACGTACAGAAATCTGGATTGGTAAACAAGCTAATCTATCGAATTACAGCCACTGGCCATAGGTATTCGTCACTATGCATTATTCGACTTACATGTTAATTTGGTGCAGCTAGAAATATGTCTTGCATTTATTTAATATCCGTTTGATATTGATCATATTTTGCACATGGGTCATGAATCATCTCAGCTACAAAGACATAATTTCCGTTTTATTTTCAATTCAGTGCGTGTCATGGTTATGGCAATTTTTAACATGGCGGTCTATGGGGAAAGAATACGCAATGTTGTGTATATATATGTTGCTCATGTAACTACAATGTGGAAAATTATGTATCTGTGGCCAAGATGATTTCCTAACAACCTGCAAAATTTGACAACCAAATATGGAAAACTGAATTAATGAAAATTACACAGCTACACTAAAATAGCATGCAAGTCTATGAGAATTTTGCCGACGGACGTATATTTAAGTCCCATGACTGTATAAACTGTTTTGCTCGAACTAAGGTTGGTGAAGTAAAATAAGTCTATCTAAAAATATACTACAATTTTGAAAAATAAAGCAAATAGATTATAAATTACTGGATTTGTTTTATTCATTTAGGCTGTTGTGAGGAAACATGTGTCACGACTACTCCTGGAGGAAAAGATCACCCTCTCTTACTGACGGTATGTGTTTATGGTACTACGAAACATAGACATAATTTCACTTTGAATATTTTATTATTATGCTTCCCTAGATACATTTTCACAAAATGAACCATGAACCATACTAAAGTTACATTTGCAAATGGATTTGAATAACCGGTAACTTAATCATGATTTCAAATTGGACCAAATAAATCTTAACTTCACACCTGTGTGAAATTGCAGTCAAACTGACCCCTTGATTTTACAATACCGTAGTTACTCCAAGGTTATGTCACATGAGATAACTAAACTTCATTCATCAGGTTGTTTATGTCAGGCCGTTCACTTACTGATTGCATAACCTAAAGTGATAAATCTGTAGTTTGCTTGTTGGTATAAATGTCGCTGCAGGTTTAAGGGTTTTTTTTAAAACTCGAATGAATGGGGAAATGCAAAGAAAAGTAACGTGTTATTGTTTATTTTTTTCAGCAAAGCTGATGATGTGTCTGGAGACTGTATAATGAATGACCAAGGATGGTCAGCAGGAACATGTGAAGGTAATTTTGACCTATCTGTAGTGACTTTTATTATAAATAGTAAATAATTTCAAATTAATAGTGTAGAGACAAGGTTTATGGATGTCAACTCCTTTATTATGTGAAAACATTTTTCAGAGTGAATGATTACCCCTTTGTCAGGTGTAAGCATTCACCCCGAAACACTGTGTTTTCACATAATAAAGACGTTGACATCCGTAAACATTCATGTCTTGTATTATTCACTTCAAAATACACCTCAAAGACTTAATGGTGTAAACATACAGTCACTACTGGGTGAATATACTTGTGCCTTCAACAATACGACTGACTGACGTAGAGTTTGGTTCTACGCCGCTTTTAGCAATATTCCAGCAACATCACGGCGGGGGACACCAGAAATGGGCTCAATACGAACTGTAAGAGATTGAATATAGCAATTTGATGAAAATCTATTACTAGTACCATTATTGCTATATAGAAAATGCAATAAATGTTCAGATATATACATAACATATTATTACCTCTGGTCTGGGAATCATGTAACCCCAGAGCAAATTTTGTATAGATTGTGTGTCTTCTTTAGAAAATAAGATATTTCATTCGGTCAATGACGTGTGATGAATTGCATAATTTCAGTTTTGAGAAAACTAGTGCAAAGTGTGATTGTTCAATTAAGTTCTCTGTTATTCAAACTTCCCTTTGGATTACTCATTTTAAATCACCCTTGGCATTTTCAGTTTCTTGTTGATTGATGTTTGTGTAATTTATCAAAATAACCTAGTAATTCGTTATTACCTGCCATTTTCAGAAACTTGCACATCGCCTAAACAGACTTGCATCTATCGATTGGCCAGATAGACGAAAGAAAAGGTAGCGACAACACTCACCATAGATATGACATCACCAGTCGTGAGTGACGAAGATGACGTCAATAAGTTGCATTCCGTCTCCTTTGTCTGGGAGTCCAGCAAGCTTAGAGCATACCTGACGACACTGAACTTGGAAAGAATCTACACCTCTACTGCTCTCGTCATGGCCAACGTGAGGACGAGGATGAGGCATCCGACCAACCGGAGGGATCTCCGCCCAGGGATGCCCCTTATTGGGCTAACTGACCAACTCTTGCAATATAATTGAATTTATTTTCAATTTCATAATGTAATTTTTATTTTATTTTATTTTTGTATTGTAAGCTGTATGTTGTGTTATTGTATGATGTATATCATAGTGGATGTTTGGCGATAGTTGTGTGTGGCAGAATACCAAGGCGTGCAAATAAATGTCCGATGCAGCTATGTTTAATTACTGTGTTAATTTGTATGTTATTGTCATTTTTCACCATTAGCATGATTTTTGAAATAAATTTCATATCTAACATGCTATTTCAAGATAATAAGTGAATGAAAGTTTAACTGATGAAAAATTACTACTTTGTTATTAATGATATATGATTTCTTAAATTGGATTGAGTTATGCCAAAATGTTTTGCTGTTTTTGAGTGCTATATTACTAGTTATATGTATGATCTTTATTTGCCTGAAATGCTAATTCATATTCATGTTGAGAAAATAAAACAATGAATCTTATTATATATTCTGTTTTTCTTTAAGTAAATGTCATGATAATAACAAATTGCTTATATTGTTTTTAACAAGAGTTTATGATATGAATAAAGAAGAATGGTTAAATTTGACTCTTTGAAGCGCATATGAAAACCTGTGAAACTGAAATTGAAACGGGTAACTGAAACTATGCGGAAACTATGTCGGATTGTTTGTAACTGCAACTATGCGGAAACTGTGTCGGATTGTTTGTAACTGAAACTATGCGGAAACTATGTCGGATTGTTGGTGACTGAAACTCTGCGGAAACCTGTTGGAGTCTTATTAATAACTGAAACCTTGCGGAAACCTGATGGATTCAAAGTTAACTGAAACTCAACGGAAACTTGTCGGAGTGTGGGTAACGGATACCTTGCGGAAACATGTTGGATTGTGGGTAACGGAAACCTTGCGGAAACCCTTAGAAAGTGGGTAATTGTAAGTTTCCGTTATTGCGGAAACTCAATGTATAAGAACGGAAACTCACTGGATTCTAGGTGGAAACTTAAGTTTCAGTCCACTTTCCACCAGGTTTCCGCATTGCGGAAACCGAGTTATTTTTGCTGTGTTTATTGTTTGGCATACCACTGTATATACATGTCACACAGTAGGCATTCTTGACTACTTAATGTATAGTTTTATGTGTATGTATATAGGGATGATTGTAATATTTATGTGCGGGATCCTTTAATATACCATATCTTCATTGATTGTGCTTTCTGGTGGTGAGGGACAAAAGAATATATCTCAACAGATTATCCCCTTTCCTGGAAATCTTAATAGATTACTTAAAATAAATTGCAATATGTGATACATGGCTAATTAAAAAATGCATTTTAATCAATATATGACAGGAATACAATGAGACAATTGATTTGGGTGTCAGGAGAAATTAAAAACTAACCTAAAGCAAATGTATCTACATGTTGATGAGGCGTGGTGGGCGAGCTGGCTAAGGCGCCAGGCTAGTGATCCAGCTAAGGCGCCAGGCTAGTGATCCAGCGAGCATTAGGTGCCGGGATCGAGCCCACCCGTAACCGGGTCTAAAAACCTTGGAGTCTTTGTGTGCAGACTCTTTCAGTGTTGTCACAATCCTGTGCACTTAAAAGAACCCACGAATCCGTTGGTATATGACCAGATGGTGGCCACATAAATACGTGCAAACACCTAGTTGTGGGTACAGCAAAGTGCAGTAAACTTGGACAAAGTACTGTGACAATGTGTCCCTGTCCACCCTGCTGTGAATGGGTACCTCGTAAGGATGGGAAAGCCCCAATAACTCGATGCGCCTTGTGGCAGCAAGTGTTTTATGGTCCCCCGGGAGCTGAGATTTATAACAAGATGTGCCGTTGAGATTGACATCCAAATGATCGAGGGAATAAATACCAGCGGCTTGAGCATGCACTAGTGCATGGATATGTGCGCTATATAAATATCCAATGATGATGATGATGACGATGATGATAAACAGAAATCAGGTTTTTCGTGTGTTGAAGTGTTTTATTAGCTAAATCTTGTAATCCATTTCTTCGATTGTAGTCTAACAGGCTTCCGTTACAATAACAGTAGCAACAGTGCTGTCGGAAGCCCGAGGAAAACACCTTGTGAAATCAATGGTGATCTGTGAAATCAGAGATAACATAAAGAGTTGTCACAATACAACACTTAACACTGTTGTTTGTTACACGTTTAAAAATAACAAATGTATCCCCTTGATGTCTATCGGCGTCATATTGCTGCAATATTTCAACATATGACAACGAACCACACTGTCTTAAACCGTTCCCACCATCACGGAATATCGGGTGTATAACTAAACACAAAACCTGGTAAATCTGATGGTAGGACGGACAAACAAACTTAATGGGCCTACTGATGTGTCGTGTGATATACAGGAACCGATCAAGCATACACAGGAAAGTATGCTGTGCATCCAGGAATGTCGTGGTACACGTGACGACATATGTTGTATGTTCACTTCAAAATAATGTTAACCCACTAAAAGCAAAAAAGTTCCATTTATTACCAACTGAACATATATGTGCCATTGACCTAAGCATCTGAATGTATCTTCTATAATTAGTTGGTTTGAAATGAGGCGACACTTTTTGCAAGATCGCCAGTCTTAACGTTTCAAGGAAATATGATGTAACATGGATGTGAAGAATTAGATCACAAATTATGGATCAGACAACTAGTTAAAACATAGCAGACCTTCGATTGCAATTAACTCGTTTCCTACAATCACAATAATGCGGCCACTTTGAAGACTGTCGGTAACGCCTCTTCAATCAATATTTTATGAAGTAATTTGCTGCAAGCCGACCAGAAACCTATCCATTTAAATTGAAAAGCAAACATTATTTCATACTGAAACATAACAGCACGAGTTCGAGGAATATTCTAGCAGTCCCAGCCTCTGAAACAAATATGAGCATGCCCTTTCAAAGAAAATTGGGTATGTACGTCCATGTCTCTCAAGGTCTGTTTGCATCTACCAGGTTTTTTAATCGAAGTATATTTGTTCTTTTAAGTGACGGCTAAATTAGAATACAATCGCCACTGGCTGAAAGAATGGTGTAAATCCAGCTAGGGTCCATGCAGGTAGCAAAGGTACTGTAAGTCCCCATGGATGGTGATCTACCTTCAGTTGCTGGAAATCTATAGCCCATTTTTACAATGTGTTGTTGTTTATTATTCTATTCTTTTAAATGCTATCAACTTATACCTGTGGTACTCTGATAATTCTACTGTCCTGTTTAAATATGACCCTTTTTAGTCACGATAAGGCCGAAATATTGCCAAAGTTACTATAAATTTAACTCACCCACTCACCCAAAGAATTTTCTAAGATCGCTTGTTCTTGGTTGTTTGATCAGGTGTACGATTGTCAAGACCTGAATGGAGTGTTCAGTGGTTTTATAATAGCCGTATGGAGGACATTTCCAAATTTGAATCATCAGTGACAAGCATAATGACTTCCATATCTTCCTGTGATTTTTGCGATTCCGAACGGAGTATACCCACATGACCTAATTTTCCTGCCTAACCTTCTCCCACATCACCTAATTAGCAGACAGGCCCAGTACGACTTATATCTGTAACCACTGAACCGTGGCGTCTCACTGTTCATCACCTAATTAATTTTTCGTACCTAACGGGTAAAAAGTAGGAGAAGTGGGAGGACACCTTATGAACAGTTGACTTGCCAATGCTAACAACTCCGATGCAAAATGCTCTTTACGAGAACAAATAGTATCATCACTGTTTGATAGTAATTCAGATGATACAGGCGAACTCGTGCCATGGACCCCGCACCAAGTTCAGATCTCAATAAAAGCTATTGACCACACCAGCTGTCCTCAAAACGTGTAAGCATATCTTGACCTTCTGGCAGTACCTGCCAGTTAGCCAGAAATGTTTTCTAATGATGTTCAGCGCCGTGCAGCAGTACTCCCGACATGCGAGGGCTGTCTTGAAACAAACCAGATAATCAAGCGATGGACCAGCAAGTCTAGTGGCATGATATCGCATTTACCAATTTTGATGAAATGTTAAATAACATGGTAATTCTGAATTACGTTTGTTTCGCAAGTGAAAGAAATTCTGCTTCGAATAGGGAGCAAATATGTTCCTTTTTTAGCACATTCAGTGGTTGGTTTAAGGAACGGCTTTGAACTGACTGACTGACTGAATTTGGTTTTACGCCGCTTTTAGCAATGTTCCAGCAACATCACGGCGGGGGACACCAGAAATGGGCCTTTGAACATATGTACTTATATCAACATTGGGTTACAGACAGTTTCAATGTCCGGATGTATTCAGTAGCACATCAACATTTTACTGTCGATGCGAGTAGTTGAGGTTCCGAGCTCTGGATTACATGGACTTACAAAGCGACGTGAAATGCTAGTGTGTCTGGCTGCGTGTCTTGACCAATGCTGGTTTCATGCCGCCAGACAACTGAAACATCATACCTCTTGGACACAGTAAACAGATTCCTTGCAGGCCAGTCGTTGTTTTATTCCATAATTGCCGAAAATGATATCTTTCAGCGTCTCTTGCTGTGACGTGGCAGATAATGGAAACGCCGACTCACTACTCTCTGGTCAGAGAGGCTATTTAATAAAAATGGCCATTTATTACGCGCCTTTTCCACGCACGTGTGCATGCTCAAAGCGCTAACACATTATTATCCCGGATAATCCAAGCTGAAGGTTATTAGTCACATGACTTGTCCCACCGGGTACCCACTTTCTACTGGGTGAACAGAGGCAATTTAGACCAAATCTAGACCCCATGTGTCACATGTGTTTCGTTGTGGAGCATGACCGAAATCTTCAACTGATTAGTGACCTGAGGTCTATGCACATGACCACACACTACCATACACTACTACTTGGTACACTATGTACATCAAAACGATTTTTACGGTTTATGTACTTAATATAACGCATATATTGCTGTTTCTGCTCAGACGTCGTTTTGTCTGAAGTGAAATTCAGTGATTGTGATTGATGGGCCTCGTGTGTACAGACTCAGCTGTATTTCCGATAATCTTGTCAAATATTCACAAAGCAGCAATGACTGACAGCTCTAATTATATTACATCTTTGGTAATCATGATAGATGAAGTATTCTCGTGGTCTTCTAAAGGAATGATTTTAGTTTGAAAAGAGTCTATATTACCTTTTTCGATTCATTTTTAACTGTTATGGCTTCAATATCCAATTTAATTTCCATAACATTTTAAATAAAAACAAATTTCGTATTGTGTATTGTCATTGGGTGAATAACATTACCACTTTGTCTGTCCATCAGTCATATAATGGCACCAACGTGCGTGATGTCTTATGGTACAGAAAATGCCTACTCGGAATCTAAACAGAGTATCAGTGCCAGTCCAGAGTGATGTATCAGTGAAAAATAATATAGTGTGCTTTATTACACTAAACATGGTGGTAGAGCGAACTGTATTTCTTAATTAAATGCATCAACCTGACTCTTTGAAGCTGAAACCTTGCCAAATTGGATGGGCACATCTCAACACAAAGGCCACTGTTTTGATGTGTGTGTTGGTACAGCGTGTAAGTGTCTGAATGTCTGTGTGTGTCTGCTTTTGTGTGCTTGTGCACACGTGCGTGTGCTGTCAGGGATCGTTGAGACCTCTACCTTCCGAGCTGTGTGGTTCTTGCAAATACTACCCGAAATGGTCATAAATTGGTATTTAGGTAGAAAACATGAGTCATGTTCACCACTCAGATACACCATACTGACTCAGTCTTGAACGCCAGGGAGGGCAAAAACACATTTCATATTTTCAAACCAATGTTTCGGAATGATGTGCCTTGGTTATAGAACCACCACGTAATATAACAACAACGTGACAACAAATTACACAACAGAATGCAAGTACATGTTTATTTTGATATTGCTTTAATCCATAAATTCGATAAGAAGCTGACACAGTTGACCTTTTGGTCTGCCGAGCTTTGAACATATGACCAACATAACCCCACGATCCTGTCTCCTGTGTGAAACACATCACTGACACCTCTGGAGATACAATAATAACATAATGTGGAGTATATCCCGTGTTTCCAGCAGTCGCACGTAATCCATATATTGTGCTGTGTGAAGTCCTCCCGACATTCCCATGTCATCTGGCAGGTTGTGTTGGGTGGTTGTGACATCATCTTGTCGTTTCGCCAGACGTGTTCGTTTAGGGATATAGGAGGATGTGTCGGTAGTAACCTGGTTTGTTCTTTCATCCTTCAGGTGTCTACCATATGACTGATATAACACCAAGAGCTTGTCTCATGTGTGGAATATACACCACTGACACCCTAAATATACTATAACATGACGCAGAATATATATATGAGAGTATACACCACTGACACCTCTAAAGATACAATAAGATGACGCAGAGTATATCCTGAGTTTCCATCAGCCGCATGTAATCCATATATGGAAGCGGTGAGGCCACTGGGCGGCGATGAGGACAACTGCAGTGAGGTCCTCCCGACATCCCCCCTGTCATCTGGCTTGGTACGAGGCAGGTTGTGTTTGGTGGTTGTGACGTCCTATGGCCGTTTTACCTCTCCAGACATGTTCCTTTAGGGTTCGGAGGATACGTCAGTGGTAACCTGTTTTGTTTTTTCATCCTTAAGACCTGTGCGTTAAGGCAATAGTCCCAGCCCCTGGTTTGCTTTGTCCACAGCAACCCTCAGTAGTAGGTGGCCTTTAATCTTGTTCGCTGGGATCATTGTTACTGTCTCAGGATGTGTTGTGTAGTTGCGTGACCTTTAAAATGTGGCCACTGCTTGGTCTTCATGGTAACTGTAAAATAGGAGAACAATAACATGAACACTTACACAGATTGATAGCTGCTGAACGTATGTTTCTTTGCTTGTGGTTTTTTGTTAACACCACACTCAGCAAATATTCCAGCTAAGCTATTTGGCGACGGGTTTAAATACTCGAGTCTGCACCAGACAACGTCATGAGCATCAATCTACGCAACTGCAATATATTAACATGTGTCAACCACGTCAGCGAGCCGCGCCCGTCAGTCGCCTCTTACAACAAGCAGGGGTTGCTGAAGGCCGATTCTAACCCGAGTGACCACGGGTTGTTGAGCATATGAGCACTAAACAATGCCATATAAATAGTCACAAGTAATATGTAATTATCTACCTCAACCAGTAGCTTTTGAGCAGGTATTTTATGTAGATACTGTCTGGCTGTCGTTTCAAGCTTTTTTCGCTGTCCATGACCTTGACATCTGTCTATGAAGTCCTTGCAAGCAGTGCGAAGATCCGGAAGTCGAAACTCGTCTGATGCGCAGAGAAGACCTGAAATACAAAGAAGAGTTGAGTTCAACCTACTACTTCCCCGGGTTTCCTTTCAGCCTTTAATTCTAGGTGTGTCTTTTTTTCTTTCGTTTTTTATTCCTTCAATGAGGAACTTCCGCGTTTTCGTGAAGATATTCTGGGCTAGCTTTCGGTTTACATGCAATTGATTTCCTTCCCCAATTAAGAACCTACCGACAACATGGTTGATGTCGACCTTGACCTTTCCAGAGTGGACAAAGGTGATAAACCTTCTGAAAGTCTCCACCTCGTAGTCAGGGACGTGGATGACGAGCTTGTTTGGGTAGGGAGAGGGTCTCTGTTTCTTGAATCTCTTCTTGGTTGTCGTCACCAGGTCAGAGAGTTTTTGGTGATGCAGGACTAGCTGATATAAAGACCTGGAGTATTTTTAAAGTATAATATCGCTATATCAATGCCAAAACTGATTTATGATGGGGGAAGCGGGAGAGACAAGCGAATGATTCAAGACATACTAAAAGGGTACTAGGATAAGAAAAATAATTGTTTTACATGTTGCCAGTAAATGTGTTTCTTGTGACCTTAAATCAATTATAGATAACATAAATTAAAGATTTATATTTTATTTATAATTTTATTATTGGATATTTATATAGCGCACATATCCACGCACTATTGCATGCTCAAGGCGCTGGTATTTTTTCCCTCGATCATTGGATGTCAATCTCAACGGCACATTATCAATCTCAGCTCCCTGGAGATCATACAACTCTTGCTGCCACAAGGCGCACTGAGTTATTTGGGCTTTCCCATCCTTACGAGATTTGTGTTGCATCTTACCTGCTTCGAGTTGCTAGAATGGCCTTGACCCCATGAACCGGAACTCGATCTTTGCCAACAAGAAAAGTGACGTCACACAGCTCGGGCATACTAAGAATAAAAGCGACGCTGTCCTGAAGACCGGCGGTGCTTTTAAAGATCATCACTTGGCTCTGAGCTGATGGGCGTGGCAGGGGATGAGGGGCGGGGCTTGAAACACGTGATATATTCGAAGAATCACTGGATTCATAACCAGACGATGATTCACCTGAGCACAAATACAATACATGACTAATTTTAGATGGAAAACACGGCCACATTGACCGTAAACCGGAATATCAAAAGCTGCTTGGATAATCGAAAAATGTGGACGCTGTAATTTAGGCCCAAAACTAAAACTAAATTTATCAATGCTGTGACGATACTCCGTTCACCATTCATCGAAGTATCTCTTTGACAGCACATAAAACATCGCTGATACACATGCACGTCATGTTAAACTTTATTGTTAATACATTGTGAACCTTCATAAAATACGTAATATATATATATGACAGGGATTATTTTTGTATATTGTCTATTGGAGTTTCCTACCGCAACGTATTTTTCATTTGTAGGTAGGCCCACGAAATACTTAAATGCCGTTTGAATAAGTTAGTACAAGTACACATGTTTTGTGTAAAACCCGTAGTGTACATCATTAACTTAAACATCTCCCACAATGCGTACAACACCAATATGGCTCAGAAGCATTATTCACCCTCTTCATTTGAGGAAACGGTGTAACTAGTTCAAAAGTAGATGTAATTATTATAACGCCAAAATGATGATATGTCCGTCTCAAACATATAGGAAGAATATTATTCCAATAGTACCAGATACACATTGTTCATTACACCAGTGGCCTAAAAACTCATGTAAATATTTTAACAACTCACCACCACTTTCACTGTCCAGGAAGTCATTATCCAACAGAACAAGTCGTGAACTATTCATGTCCATTTTTAGCTAAAATCAGATTACGACTCCAAATTTAGGGCAATATCAGTTAGTCCGTTGGTTTAGTGACTGACAATTCGTTATTTGCCTTTTTATAAATCCATCGTTACTCTTGCCTGTGAGTCCACGTGACCTGGAGAAGTTTTGGCTTCGCCATGTTGTTTTTACAAGCGGTAACTTGCTTCAGGGTCTGTGTTTATACAGCAATCACTCCGTTGTAATTTCACTGATTAGAATGTAGTAATAATTAATCGTACTAATTACTGGCCAATAGCCATTCAAGGCCTTATGGGGTAACGTGTATCTATTCTGAATCTTTTCTGCCTTCTCCTCGTGAAGCCTTGGTCAATGAATATCACTTCCTTTCAACATGTCAGCAGTCTGATACTCAGTAGAGAAGCATACCACGATCTTGAAACTGAGATTTATACCACTTACTTTCACATTAAC